CCAACCAGCCAACCAGCCAACCAGCCAACCAGCCAACCAGCCAACCAACCAACCAACCAACCAGCTGAACCTGCACCTCGCAGCTGAACTACGCAGCGGGATCCGCCAGGTGTCAAGATGAGATCGCACATGAACTGGGCCACGTTGGCCCTGGAGCAGTCCTGCGGCGAGAAGACGCCGGTCTGCAGCTCGTCGAAGGTCTGATACTCGCTCACCGGCTTGTCCACCAACAAGTTGGGCCGGATCACCACGTGATCCACCAGGGGATTCTCGCTGGACCTCGGGCGAAGGCTCGGCGTTGCACGCATGGGCGTGGCACGCGTGGCCGGCGGCGTGGTCGGTGAGGCCGAGGAAGAAGATATGGTCCGTTTTCCGAGGATCTTGCGAGAGAGATGCTCGCGGAAGAAAAAAGGACAGCGCCACTTACTTCCACGTTGGGGGTGATGCCATGGTTGAGGGGAGATGCTGGAAGATGGGTGTTGCAGAGCTGGGATGGGCGGGGAAGTGCTAGACATTGCGACTATGCACACGTCTCGTCGGCTCGTCCGATGTCTTCTTTAGCTGTCCTGTCCTTTAGCTCTCGCATCAAGCGGCATGTTTTCATTGAGGTAGGCCGCCGTCAGCTTGTGGTCGTACATGGGAGGAAGCAACGTATTCAACAAGCCCACCATGAAGGTGGAGGCCCAGCCATGAGCCTTCTCCGAGCCATCAGCCTTGGGCACCAACACCGTCCCCATCATCAGGTACTTCGGGCGAGTCCCGGTCGTCTCGGCTTGTGCGGCTTGCTGCATGGCGGAGCAAATCCGCTTGCTGATGCTGAGGCAGAGGTCGTGCGGCTTGGCCCAAGGGTTTCCGACATGGCTCAAGCACGAGACCACCGCCTCGCAGCCTTTCACCTGCTCCAGGAGCTCTTGATCCGTGAGATCCAAGACACTACTGCACTGCGTCACGGACAGCTGCGCCTCGACAAGTTCGGCTGACAGGCAGCTGATAGGCAGCTGTGGCGGTGTTGAGGACATGAGTCGTGCTCTTAGAATGGATGATGTCTCACGCGCTTTGGGCACCACCATAACTCCCTCAAAAAAAAGACTTGTCCGGGGAGATCGTTCGATGCTGGGGGCTGGGCGTGCCGCTGCAATTACAGACTCGCCAGGACTCACCCCAGTCCAGCATAGAGCCCAACACCAACATGACTTGAGGATTCTGTGAAGTTGAGGCCTAGCGCAGCCGTGGACACATCTAAACAAAACGCGCGAACATCTCCCACAACTGAGCCTGGACCCAAGAAACCGCCTCGAAGAACCCCACCGCCTACTCTCCAATATGCGCGCCACAAGAACAATGACGAACACCATGACCATCCATGACCCGCAACCCTTTGACACCATCAACTCATAAACACACGCCCCAACGGGCGGACAATTGCGGATGTCTTCTTCCCCCACTTCGGGTCCTCTGACTTCCAACTTCACCAACCTTCACCCTGCCCTACACCTCCAGCTCCGGCCTGTCCCTCGGGCTTCGGAAGCTTCTCGGGCGAACGCACCAGCGCGCGCACGGCGGCGCCGCGCTGCAGCAGCTGCTCCACCAACGGGATGCCCGTCTTTCCGGTGGCTCCCAGAACCAGCACGGTGGCGGGGGTGGCCATGGCGATTGGACGAAGAAATCGGGGAGCGAAAGGCGACCCAGGCGACCCAAAAGCAGACGTTGGGGACCTCGTGAAGGCATTCGTTTTCGAACCTTTTTGCACCACCGACCCTGTGATCATGGTGAGCGAGATCGATTCGTCCATGATCTTCCCCTCCAAGGCTAGTCGGTGTGCACGCCAACTTGATCGCTGAGGCAAGTGCGAAAAGGAATCACACAGGTCCTTCCTGAAGGTGGAGGTTCATTCACTGGCAAATGTCCATGAATCTGACACCCCGGGCCCACCAAAAGGAACTCCATGATCCCTGAATGGCCCGCTCTGCACAAGCATCTTTTGGTCAGAGGCCCGATGTCTGTTGGCAGGCCTGGTTGACAGGGCACAGGCACGAAGCAGTTCCCACTTCTGACACAAGGGCCTCCTCAAATGTAGCTGATGACGACATGCCGCAGTGACTGGGTCAGGACTCATGCGTGTGCAGCCTGTCTGTCGACGACCGTCGAGTGGTCACCAGGACTTGGCGACTGCTTGAAACAGCCGTCCTGCAGCCCCAAGAACCCACCCCAAAGGCCTCCACCCCACGTCTGTCCACGTAGATGCTTACTGCGTTGCTCCCTAGGTGGCTGGAGATCGGCGGGGCAAACGTGTGTGGACTGTCCACCGAACGCGAGCCTTGCGAGGTTCGAAAGGGTCCTTCTACCTATATATAGAGTTGCGTGCGCGCCCTATCAAAGCCCATCAAGATCCCTATATCTCTCAACTTAAATCAAGAGGTCCCAGCTCATGTATTGGCCTCGGTCTCATCTGCACAAACTCCCAGCAAGAAAAGAAAACCAGACTGAGAGTGAATACTGCCAGAACGCTAGCAACCCTTTTCTTCACGAAATGCCTGCCATGAATTCTCCGTGTCCTTGTCCTTCAGTCCTTCCCCTATGTCAATCTAAATCAGTCCTCATGCCAAGAGGAGTGCATGGACAGATGATGCACTCTCCCGAGACTTCCCCCAAAGCCAGCTCTGGTTCCCCCTTCCAAACACGCTTCGCCGAACCCTTCGCTTGCGGCCCGACCGGGTGCGACGACCACTTGGGCCCTGCGCGGAGAGGTCGATGGGGATGGGCGTGCGGTTCTTCACGGCCTCCTTGAACATGGCCTCGGTTCGGAGCTCCCGGCAGACCCGGCAGACCGGGGAACCAGCTCCGAGGTCGGAGTCGCATCGGAGTTACATCGAAGTGAGGGCAACTGGAATTCACTGGGTGACTTGATATTGGGTCTTGTACCAGGTTTTCCTTGGAGTGCTTGTTGTTTTCTATCATGACGTGAACTCCCCTGGCAAGCTGGGAGAAGCCTACTGTAGGTTCCCAAAGCAGCTGCCAAACACCAAAGAAGCAAAAGTGGTGCATTTGATGTGTGTCTTTTGGCCTGGCCCAGGTGGCGCTGATGTTTTGAGGCTATGAGGCCCGGATCCCCTCTTCTTGCTCTTTCTGATGCTGTTTCTTCCTTCTTCTCCTTCTTGTTCTTTGTCTTCTTGCTTCTTGTTTCCTTCTTCTTCTTCTTCTTCTTTTGCAAGCTGCTTGAAACGGCACCTGTACTGCTTTTCTGCTCGCTCTCCTCGGCAGCAACTGTTTTCCGAGACCCAAATGCCGCGCCGCCCAGTCTCCAGAAGGTTAAAAGAGGTTTCTATGCACCTGGGGACGAGGGGCCACAGGATCAGATTCTCCACTGAGCTTTTGGAACGGAGTCAGCGGTCAACCTCAAAGGCTAGAACTGGAAGTCGGATTGACCAATGCAAGTCGAATTAACTGCTGGATGCTTCGGGTGCGCTCAGCTGAAGAACAAGCCTTGCGTGGTACATATGAGAAGCTTCCGACAGAAAGGGCATTGATCCGCATTGGTCAGATTTTCTTTGCAATCCTCAGTCTCGCTGGAGAGCCCACTGAGAAAGAAGAGGCCAAAAGAAAAGACCATGATTGCAGCTAGATTCGAGATCCACCGGGAAATGCACCCGTTTTTCGGCTCATAAAACCCAACATAATCCAACAAAACTAAAAGCCAAGAATCCCTGCAAATCACATGCCCACAGGGCGCCATCACAACCATCGGCTTCTCCTCCTCACACACCGCACACACGTGGACGTGCCCATGAGCGCCCTCGTGAGCCTTCAGGCGCTTGCGCTTGCTGGGCGGCTCCGCCTGCGGCTCCGCCTGCGGCTCCGCCGGCTCCTTCCGGGCCTTCCAGGTGGCCTCGAGCTTCACGGACATCCGTTCGCCGCGCTTGGACCGGCGCGCGACGCCGAAGCTGGCGAAGCCCAAGCGGCCCATCTGCCGGTGGAACTCCGACCTAGGCCGCTGGACTGACGGGAAAGCTCACTGGGAAAACTCACTAGGCAACATCCTCCGCGAGGTCAGGTGACTAAGATTAGTAAACAATAAGCTAGTAGAAACAAGTGCCTCGCTACTATTAAATGTAATTGGTTTAATTCAAATAGCTTTTTGTTACTACTAGTAAGGCACTTGTTACTAGTAGCTTCTTGTTACTACTAGTAAGGCACTTGTTACTACTAGCGATGCACTTGTTCCTAGTAGCTTCTTGTTACTACTAGT